CACCAATTTCTGATACAATGCCACCGGAGAAAGGGGTAATAAAGATGAAAGACATTCCGTACGCTTCACCACCGACGTGATTGCCACTTGCATCTACGGCATCAGTGTTGGACTCTATGCGAAAACCCAGATAATCTTTCTTATATGACCGCAAAAGATTTAAATACTTCAGAGCTTTTCAGCTTATTGAACAACGCTATAAATCAACCAAATGTGGCATGGCTGCATGGCTGCAAGGATATTCAAGCCAAAGACCATCAACAAGAAGGTCACGAAATTCTTTAGGGACATCGTGGAGAACCCACCATCAAGACCAGGATCCATAAGGGCATAGTCCGGTCGGATATGTTGCAACTGATGATGGAATGCAGGGACAAGGAGAAGGCAATAGGAAGAAAATGACAATCGAGGAAATAGCTGCCCTAGCTTTTAGTTTCTTCTTTGCCGGCACCGAAACTAGTTCGTCGTTTAATATCTTTCGTCACGCCGAGGTCGCGGAAAATAAGAACGTACAGAGAAGATTGCAGAATGAGATTGATCAGCTGCTGGAAGACACGAACGGCCAACCTTCGTATGTAACAATCAAACACATGGAGTATTTGGATGCTGTACTGAAAGAAGCTCTCAGAGTAATATCCTGTCGCTATGGTGTATGACAGAATATGCGTGAGAGATTTCGAGTTGCCGCCGGCGTTAACTGGGGCAAAACCCTACGTAGTGAAGAAAGGGGATCTCTTATGGATACCGGTTTATGCACTCCATCATGACATCAAGTATTTCAAGGAACCAGAAAAATTCAATCCTGACCGGTTCATTGGCGATGAGAAGAAACATATCGACAAAACGGGGGCTTTTTTGCCGTTTAGTTAGGTCCCAGGATGTGCATTGGTTATCGATTCGCCCTGCTGGCGATGAAATTGTTATTGTTCCACCTACTGGCACGGTGTGACCTTCTGCCTTCTGACAAAACTCAGATTCCGCTGAAGTTTGCCAAGTACAATTTTATTTTGACTGTTGAGGTGGGATATGGCTAAAAATGAGCCGCGGAAGGATCCACATCGCACTATTGTTAATGATACAAGTGGCAGTAAAGATCTGTAAGAATTTTCGTTGGTTCGAAAACCTTAACTCTTTTAGTGCCGATCTAAAGAATTTTATTTCTAGGTGTGCAACTAAGTTTCCGGGTTTCACATATGGATGGCGTTAACGACACATGTAGTCGACATACATGTCTGAAGTTGTGTTTTTTTATAGTTTGGACATCTGTTAACAATAACCAGTCGTAATACGAACACATATCGCAACGCAAAAATATTTTTTCTAACAACGAAGATGTCGAGTTTGTGTCAAATAAAAAGCATTTGCGGGGAAGCTTTGCTTTTCTGCTTTAACTTGAAAAAAAGTGCAGGTGAAGCACGTCGTTTGCTTGAGGAGGCCTACGACGAACATGCACCATCGAAAACTACCTGTGAAAATTGGTTTAAATGTGAATTCAGAAGTGGCGATTTCGACACTGAGGACAAGGAGCGCTCCGGAAGACCAAAAAACAAGCCGGAGGACGCCGATCTGCAAGCGTTATTGGATGAAAGATGATACGCAAATACAAGATCAACTTGCGGAGCATTAAACATGACTCGCCAAGGTATTTCCAAACGTTTACCATTTGCCATGGGAAAAATTCAAAAGGAAGGAAAATGGGTGCCGCATGAGTTGACTGGAGAGACAGATGGAAAATCGAAGAGCCACTTCCGAAATTTGCTTTTGCGACATGAAAGAAAGAGTTTCCTGCATCGAATTGTTACTACGATGAGAAAGTGGATATATTTCGAGAATCCCAAACGCAAAAGATCGTGGCTTTCACCTGGCGAAGCATCAACATCGACGGCACGGCCAAATCACTTCGGAAAGAAGACAATGTTCTGCGTTTGGTGGACCAGAAAGGAATCGGTATTATGAGCTGCTGAAACCGGGCGAAACTGTCAATGGGCATCGCTACCGACAACAACTGATCAATTTGAAGCATGCACTCGAAAAACGGCCAGAATGGGACACGAGACACGAACGAGTGATATTGCAGCACGACAACGCTCCGTGCCATCGCACTTCCATCGTCCAGGACACCATCAAAACGCTGAAATGGAATCTGCTACCGCACCCGCCGTATTCGCCAGACCTGACCCCTTCCGATTATCACTTGTTCCGGTCGATGGCGCATGGCTTGGCTGGGCAACACTTGGCCAATTCGAAGAAGTGCAAAATTGATTGGATGAATGGTTTCGGTCCAAAGACGCGTCGTTTTATCGTCGCGGTATTCATGTATTGCCAGAGAGATGGCAAAAATGTGTAGCTAGCGAGGGACGATACTTTGAATAAACCATTTTTTGTATTTCTCTTGAAATTTTCCATTTTCATTGATCAAAAGAACCGGAAACTTAGTTGCGCACCTAGTAAACGAAGAATGCCGAACCAAGTTGATGTAATTTAGTAAGATTTGAGAAAAAATATACACATAAGTATACGCATAAAAGTAAGAATGATATTAAATTCAAAAGAAACATATTACGAAATAAAGGGAGAATAAATTATTGCTAACTTTCAATATTTGTTATTATTTCAATATTTGTTGAAAATCGTACTAATATTTATTCAAGATCATTAGGAAAAATGGGAAAATCAGTAATTTTTTATAAACAGTATTTGCAAATAAGAAGAATCATCGTTTGGTCAAAGTTTGATGTAGTATAAAGCATAAATACTGCATCTTCAATTATTTATAACAAAATTACTAATATCAAGGCACAAAACTAAATGATAATCTCATGATGCGCAGCAAGCATCAGAAGCATCGCGGAATATAACAGAAAGTTAAACTTATAAACAATTTTTTTAATTCGTGGGATACCTCACATAGGATTTCTGAAAAGAAATTCAACCATTTATGATGTTTTATAAATTTATTTTGAAACAGATTTCTCTCGTGATGCGAATAGTAAGGCGTCATCGCATGCGCAACGATATATCGTCGTTGGCACTTTTCGCAAGTGTTGCTAATAACGATATATCATTATTCGGCACTATAATAATTAAGGATTCACATGTGAACAGTACATAACATAATAGAAAACATAATTAATAAATGCGAGATGATATTCACACATACTGGTTGTGTTTAAAAATTAATAACGAATATTGAAAGTATAAAAAGCTTGATAATAAATATAAGAATATCTTCTGTATCGCCGTTCTCCGAATTCACTAATATCAGAAAATTGTTCCAATGTCAAAGCCACAAGCTACATCACACAGAATTATGTCCGTTGTACCAATGTTGATCATTAATGAAATTCCTGTTAAGATTGGACAGACTAGATTGTAGAGGAGAATAATGTTTACTTATCAACTCGTGTAGAATATATTATATTTTCCGGATATTTTCCGGAATAATATTTAATCCAGTGCCTGTGTCCGACACCTCTGCAATTGTATTGCCGCGATACATACAATACATACAGTCTGTAAAGTAAGAGCGTGTACGGCATAAATGCAATTACATGCTCCGAAAATGCTTAAAATTTATGAGAAGTGTTGCCGACTGCTGAACGATGCTTCATAAAAAAAACGAGAACTGGATCTTACAGGAAGACAACGACCCAAAACACCGGAGCAAGCTTTGCATCGAGTGAAAAGAGCAGTCTGGCATCGTCACACTTGATTGGCCATCGCAGTCGCCAGATGCAAATCCCATTGAAAATGTGTGGGCATATCTCAAGCACAAGCTTCGAGGAAAAAGAGTGTGCACTTTGAAGCAGCTGACACGACAAATTCGTCTCATTTGGAGGTCTTTACCGAACGAATACGCAGTCAACTTAGTGGAAAGTCCTCGAAAGTGTATGCCTCGGAGATGCCAGACAATTATCAATGCCGGTAGTGACTGGACTCATTATTAATGGTATAGCATGTTCTTCTCATGGAGTACAATAAATCCATGTACTTAAAAATTATTAAAAATAGATTTTTCTACACATTAACCTGTACACACATTAACCCGTACACGCTCTTACTTTACAGACTGTAAGTATTTTCATTCGTTTATGTGTATGCTATTACCGATAAGGTTATATCCAACGTGTCATCGGTTTCAATTCGCAAAGAATGTTTTGCGTGGTAAGCACTTTATGCTACAGCACAATCATTTTGTACCTCCAAAGAAGTAGAAATAAAAAGTAGAAAATGGAAAATTCAGAATTATCAAATTTTTCCTCAAACCAGTTTCTTCACTCCTCAAGACTTTTCGGACATGTTTGACTTCGTGTTTTGATTTTGCGTTCTTATACGAGAATATTCTCTAATTGTTTCTTAGTATACATACGATGTTTGTTAAAAGGCAAATGAGATAATAAAAACGTTAACTTTACATAGATACCTTCATGTGTCTTACATTAACGTATGCAACATAGTTCTGGGTTACAACAGGATAGAAAATGCGCGATAATACTTTCGTTGTGCAATATGGATATAAAACTTTCTGTTCCATAAATAATGACACTATATAGACAAAGTATGTGCAGAGCAATAGTAGTTGGTTTTCATTATCAACGAAGTTGCTGCAACGCCGAACTTCTTTCTTTGCTAATACCTAATCATACGTACGATAAAAGAACATTTAACTTGTTATTTAAAACATTAAAGATCCTACATCGCACCGACAGCTTTATACTTGCGAATATCTTCCAATCAAACAGTACAAGGTGCTGTGTCCAATTCAGTGAGGATAGATTCGATCGACATGATATACACGATTATCTTTTCCACGATAATCGGGGCTTTAGTCTTTTATTACTTATTCTTCAAGAATCTGAACGAGTTCAAGAATCATGGCATACCATATGTGCGACTTTTGCCAATAGTGGGTAACATCGGACAGGCAGTCATCGATAAAAATCGTTGAGCGAAATTTTGAAAATGCTGTATCCTGACGAGTATCCTGAACTCAAGTATATCGTTATGTACGAATTTCACATGCAGGTAATAACGTTACGTGACCCCGAGCTCATCAAGTCCATCGCGATCAACCACTTTAACATGTTCCCGAATCATCGCGTCTTACTCCAGTTTGACCAGGATTCGTTTATATCCCAGACCTTGTTCATTCTCCGTGAAACGCCACTTGCGCCACGAGAAGTGGTAGTACGTCGGTATGTACAATATGACTACATCAGCAATAATACTGTGCGACCATGAACTCATTAACAACTCACTTACGCTCAGGCACTTCGACAATGTTTCCGGATCATCGCAGCTTCATCCGGGAGGATGAAAAGTTATTGTCCAACGAAAATTGTCCTTTTTTTCCGCTAAAACAAATAGTGGGAGATGCGGACTATTATGAGCCCGGCCTCAAGTCCAACAAAATAAAAAATATGTTGAGATTGACGTCGGGCTATGCCACCGATTTCGTCAAATTCATAATTATCGGAGGAGCAGAGGTTGATGAACGAACGATTTCTTCGCGCATTACACCACGATGTGATCGTCATCTGCGCCACTGACGTCAGTGATGACTCCACGCAAGTGACTTCGGATATCTGTTCTACATATACGGTAAAGAGATATCGATCAGTTCAGCACCGTCAGTTTATTGAAAAAGTATATTGAAAAAGTTTATTGAAAAAGTTTCCACGATGCTGTCGTGGTTGGCACAGCTGCACTACTTAAAGTCACTTTCGCAACAAGATGATGAAATTCTTTCAGAATGCTGTGAAAATCATTATGAGAATGATGCGCATGCAAACAGCCTATAATTTGACTACACATATATCAAAAAGTCTTTAAAGATCAAGCACCAAAACAGCGTTAAACCAATAAACTCAGTGGAATTAAAAAACTCAGAACTCCCAACTTTTTCCCCAAACTGGTCTCTTCACCAGAGTCTCTTATGGACACATCCTCGTGTTTCGTTTTCGTGTTTTAGGCTAATGTATTTCGCAATCGGTTCTTAGAATTCACTGAACTAA